ATTACCTCAGTAAACATTGTAAACATGAGTTTATGGTCTCAATCTCATATAGACCATAAAGCAGGGTATGCTTTAGGGCGGGGCTACTGTGATTGACAGGTCACTGCTGCTACCTTACACAACGTCTCTACGTCCCTCTTCCGCATTACAAATATGGTCACTTCTGTTCGTTGGTTGCGAAAAAAACAACATGGCGACGGCCGTAATCCAAGATGGTGACACTGAACTGGAGGTTTCAAAACGTCAGTCCACAAACCAACGGGTGACGTCAAGTTACTTCCACTTCTTGTACAGGGTCTATGTGGTCTCTGTAATCTTATCCTTTAAGGTTACTATCGATATTTACATTCTTTATATTTACGCTCAACAGGATCCAGGAGACGATCGGAGAAGGAGTCGTGGAGAAGTCAACCCCAAAGCAGGAGGAACGAGAGGAGCAGCTGCTCAAGGAGCGTTTGAGGGCCTCCTGGTCTACGGGAACGTGCTGCCATATTGTTTTTCCAGGAAGGGACGGGGTTTTTTTGGGAGCTGTGGCTGATCTGCAGCCATGCACCGCTTAAGGACTACAGTCGCAAGGCTTCGGCCTTTAACGGCTGCGCAGACGGCCCCGAGCCAATCACAGCCCAGGACATTTAAGCCTGCAAGGCGCCTGAACACATCAGCGGCTGCTGAGCCCTTTCTTAACGGCACCAGCTCCAACTATGTGGAGGAGATGTACTATGCATGGCTGGAGAATCCCAGGAATGTGCACAAGGTACTTGTACCCCTCTTATGTCTTGTGTTTGATGTCACACCTGCTTTTATTCATGCTTGAAAAGTTGAATTTTGCTCATGCACTTATGCAAAACAGGTTCAGCGCTCATGCACAATGAGTGTGTGTCTCTTTACTCTGATAAAACTTCTTCTTCTTCCTCTCAGTGATTGCAGCTACCTGTAGTATCTGCAGTAGGCTAAAGGTACTAATACACACTGCTGGTGCTTTGTGTGTTTGCTTATGCATGTTTGAATAGCAGAACAGAGCAAACAGTGAATGACGGATAGAAAAGCAGAGAGAGAAACAAACACTGTGAATGTGTTTCTAGTCAAAAATACAGTTACACCAGTTATTTCACATCGAAAGATGTTGAGATAGTTAGATATGTGTTGTAGTGTCATTCGAAATCAAGTCGAGATTGGTTAGCAAGAGATAAAAATGAGTTTTGAGGAGGGCTTTAAGAGAGAATACTGAGTTCAACAGCTACCAGATTACCCTTAAATATACTTTACTATATGTGACATATTTCGATATGAAGTCCTTGTGAGATTCATGCATGTGGGGGTTAAAAAATACAGAATAACTGTCAGCGTTTTTGGGAGATAAACACGAGGAGTTGTTTTTGTGTTTTAAACTCCTCAAAGTTGCAAAAGTAATGAGTGGAAAGTGTTTGACATCCAAAGAAGGTAAACCTCCCTGTTAGCTCAGAGGGAAGAATTAGCTGTTAGCATGTAGTGATCTGGGTTTTTAATAAGGTGGCGGACACACAAACATGTATTTTCATGCTCCCCTTCAGCGGTTAAAAAATACTTATTAACACCTGTATTTAAAGTTTCTTATGAGGGAAGTTAATCTATTTTATAATGCTCATGTTATTTAAGTTGAATAAGGCCTCTGTGCTTTTCACCCATTGGTGGATTTGGACACACTATCTGTGAGAGCTAACGTTATGCAGTCTCCGTTAGCGTTGTTACTGCTACTACAAACTGCCATTTCTCACTTAAATTCCACGCATAACGTTAGCTAAGATGTCTATCAAAGTGAGTATTAATGTTACGTGAACGGACCGAGTCTCGTGCGGGAGTCCTGCACGTGACTACATCAGTTTGAAAGCACTGAAGCGCAGAACAGTGTGTGTGTGTGAGTGAACGTAACATTACTACTGTGTGGGGACATGTGGTGGAAAATAATCTTTTTAAACCTCCCGGTGAGAAATACTCGAGATGAGGAAACTCTTAAAGTATAAAAACATATTTATTGAACAGACACTAATAATAATTCAGCTGAATGGATAGAGCTCTTTCCCCACGGATGGTTCGGAGGTCTAACCACAATAAAACGACAAAACAGATTATATATGCGCGTTATCTCGTCTCCTCTCCCTTCCCCCCCCCCCCCCCTCCCCCTCGCAGATGTGGTCCTCCGTCGGCCGCTGCCCCCACCAAGGCCACATTCCCAGCCTTTCCGTGGGAAGAGGGTTAAGATTATATGCAGGTTTAGTGATTATAACTAAGAACGGGATGATGAACAGGACATACCGCTTGTTTTTTTGCACAATAAGCCTTAATAGTAATTACTGCTTTTTTATTTCTAAATATTAAAAATGCCCATTAGCTCATGGTGACTTTAACCCAGTTGCTCTGTCATAATAATAATAATAATAATACGACTTCATTCCACACCATTAGCGCTCAAAGGCCCGGAGATGACTTGAATTACTGACTCCATTCTAGCAACAACTTTCTCCTCGTCATAAATTACGTCCTAGCTTCTTCTGAGAAGTCAAAACAACACAGAATAGCTATTTATGAATCCAACCTCATATAAGACCAGCATTTACAAACAAATCCTCCAAATTACTAGAAAGGCTGATGACATGCCAGGTTGCTGCCAAGCTGATCTAGAACTTTGACCTTTGTCTTTGTTGGGCCAAGTAGAACAGCCTCATATTTACAACCAACAAACTGATGAACATCATTCATCAGTGTCGCCTGAAAGCGACACAGTTAAAGTTAAGTGAAGAAACATTTATAAAAGAGTGTCAACATTTTGTTTAGAATATCTAAACATAAAGAAATATAGATATTTAATAGCAAAGTCTCCTCTATTCAAACAAACGCTCCCTTTTTAAAAGCTTAGTGCGACATTTTCACAGCATCATGTTCCGTTTAACATTATCTTTAATATTACAATCCAACTCATAGCCATGACAATTATTGCAATCTAACAGCACCATTACTTACATTTATATAACCACAACAATATGTATGTAAAGTAATATATTTGTTTGAAGCGTTTTGAATAACTTGTCTACCTTCATCCTCTCTCCTGTCTCTCCCTGCAGTCCTGGGACATATTTTTCCGTAACGCTAACGCTGGAGCTCCGCCTGGTTCGGCCCACCAGAGCCCTCCACCCCTCAGTGGGTCTCCTCGGGGACTGGCCAGTGTTCAGGCACTGGTGGGTTTCCAGTCCAATGTGGAGAAGGTGGTGAGGGATCATCTGGCAGTGCATTCACTCATACGAGCGTACCAGGTAAACTACCAACTCAGGAGTGACGTAGAGACGCCGTGTACGTCTCTGGTAGAGACCTGTCAATCAC